GTGTATGACCTCGATGTGTATCAACATACCGTTGTTTGTGTATGACCTCGATGTGTATCAACATACCGTTGTTCGTGTATGACCTCGATGTGTATTAACATACTGTGGTTTGACGTTGTATGTCCCTATGTACGTATCACTCTAGGTAACAACATACCGATGTTTGACGTTGTATATTGCCCTACTCTGCTGTTAGTTTCGTCCTCGTCAGTGTTCAAAGATCCTTTACTCTGTGCGAGGTCCCACATTGTCCTGTTTCCTAGGTCGTTAAAAGCAGAGCTGTCATTTGTTCGAGTACATGTTTTCTCCTCCACTGTCATGTTGCTTTGCTATAAACACATTAATTGGGGATATTTGGTACTTGTTGTTGCTTGGTTCCTTTCCCGTATCAGCTAGCTAGGAAACTTACGCGACACATATAAATCGGAATTTTATTATTTCTTTTAATTCCATTTCAAGTTCTATTCAATCGCTAATATGTGTAACCGTACCCTTCCCATGGGGAAATGTCAATTTTACAAATTGCATCGACACAATTACTTTAATTGCATGACGTGTATATGAGTTAATTTGCAAGACGAAGAGCTTACATATGTACATCCAGTAGAAGATGTTGTTCTACGGAGTCTTCGGTATGAAATTGGATCTGTATCAAAACAGAAGACAAAAACACATATTTTTTTATTCATGAATTTATTTATGTCCATTGCTCGTCAAAATCCTCTCGTTTATAAGTCTGGAATAACAATGGCATATGTATCCCACGAATAACCCTCGTTCTCACTGTATCCAATGGATACCCCCTCGTTCTCACTGTATCCAATGGATACCCTCTCGTTCTCGCTGTATCCAATGGATACCCTCTCGTTCTCGCTGTATCCAATGGGTACCCCTCGTTCTCGCTGTATCCAATGGGAACCACTCGTTCTCGCTGTATCCAATGGGTACCCCTCGAACTCCCTGTATCCAATTGGTACCCCTCGTTCTCGCTGTATCCAATGGGTACCCCTCGTTCTCGCTGTTTCCAATGGATACCCCCTCGTTCTCACTGTATCCAATGCATACCCTCTCGTTCTCGCTGTATCCAATGGATACCCCCTCGTTCTCACTGTATCCAATGCATACCCTCTCGTTCTCGCTGTATCCAATGGATACCCTCTCGTTCTCGCTGTATCCAATGGGGACCCCTCGTTCTCGCTGTATCCAATGGGTACCCCTCGTTCTCCCTGTATCCAATGGGTACCCCTCGTTCTCGCTGTATCCAATGGGTACCCCTACAATCTCTCTATTTACCTTCTGAAAGCCCACTTCATCCCACGCAATTTCACTGACATTAAAAACAATTGTTTTCCCACGATGTGAAGGAGACTATATAGCCTACAAAGGAAAGCTTTCATTCGGAAATAGTTTATTGCGATATCTTATAATTCAAGTCATAGCTTTGTTTTAGTTTTCTCTCCAAAATCAAGAATAGCAAAGAAAAAGTAAGGAGAATTAAAGTTTCCTAGCAACATGTTGTGTTCTCTAAACCAATAGTTCTCTACTGCTGGAATACCAACAAGAAATATGACAGAATTGTGAGTTAGGAAGTTCTCCCACCAGTGATGATTAGTTAACATGGTTGTCTGATTAGAGATTTCATACGGACAGACAGGATAACCAACCATCACCAGTTAGGGAATCGTTTTCTATCATTTTATCAATTTCAAAGAAAACAATCTTTCATCCAAAATTCCAGTTTCTGACAGAGAAGAAAAATCTCCACGGTTTATGAAGCCATACTGCATTTTTTTTATCAATACCTCGCAAAGCAGTGTGACGCCATGTTTTTTTACCGATGAAAATGCTTACAGCCTGTTATAAGACATGTAAATAAAAAGAATGGGAATGCTTAAACACATGCGCGTTTTGGCAGAAATGTCCTCCAACTGACAACAGAAACAAAACAATAACATGTACAATGGATGAAAGACATTTGTATTATAACAAAAGGATACCAAGCGTCAAACAACGACAACCTTTCATACAACCATCACTAATCTACAATACCATACAATTCAATTGACAGGAGAGTTCCAAAAATGTGGTACACTCAATCATAAAGACGTATACCTTTATATTTATCCATTGTTTTATTTGAGAGCTATTAGTCCACTCGTACGTTTTAACAGACAATACTATTTATCTAATGTTTGGGACTTCTGTAAATACTTGGCAAAAGTGAAATAATCTTGCACAACGATCTTACCATAGAATTACCCGTATATCATCCATCATATTAAATAAACAAAGACGGGCGTTTTCCTTCTGTAAGTATACAAACAGACAATGTGTGTCCATCCGTCCATATATAAAAAAAAAAAAAAAAACGTTCATTTTTAACAATGTATAAAGTATTATGCAGAAGTAAAACTTCATTTAATGGATAAACAACAAGTAGAGACAGTTATCCAAGTCTTAGTTCTATAGTGTCTACCACAGAAAATCATATTTCTTTTTTCGGTCTATTTTTAGACCATATCATGTGAACGTGCATACATCTTCATTTAACCCCAGGGTTCATTGAAATATTCTGTAATCACAAATGTATCGCAAGGAACCCTGGGATAGACTATAATAATCCCTGTGGTAAGCTACACAGTCTGGATTGCCTGCCGTATTTTTTTCATACTATCCAGCGAAGAGAAATAAAACTAAGGCAGGTAATCCAGTCTATTATCTACATAACTAGCGTTATCTCCCTTTGATGCAGGTCGTCTTCCTGTCTAGCTTCGCTCTCTTCACTCCCTCTTTCATGCATTATCAATGTGTCCTGTTTAATAATAAATCTCCTTCGTTCTGGATTATTGAATGAACCAGAGGCTCACATGGTCATTTTGCACAATCACTAGTATAAGGTGAATGTAACGTCATCTGGTACAATCTATATGGTTTATACACTTCTCACATCCTTTTATTATTAAATAAATATAAATAAATTATAATCAAAAAACACAAATGGTATATAATATAGTCATTCTGAATGTAGATGTCTGGTTAAGCTCGTCTGTCACCATAGTAAACAGGATTCATGATGAACCGGAAGCGAACAAAACAGACACAAATAACGCACGTGCAATCCAATATACAACGGACAATGAGCAGTACAACCGTCTCTGTTTATGACTAGATAGCTGGGCACCATTTGTGTGGTTCACACTTAACTCACTAACCAAAATTCGCATCTGACGTCACTAGGATGTCATTATCAAAACATACAAGCATAGCGTCCACGGAAAGCTTCTTTCAAACTGATGAAATCTTTTTTCCAGAAGATACATTCTTCTTATCAGCGTACACAACATACAAGTCTGTAATTTTCTCTTGACCGAATCTGTCCTGGGCATTGTTGACTGATGGCTGACGTTGCCAGCGCACATCAACGGTCTATCTTGCTGTTTCTTGTACTGTGTACTGACATTATCTTGTCATCAATATAAAACAAATTACACTCATTAAGTGATGAAGCGTTCTTTCCTCTTATATCTCAACATTGAGCAAATATTGCTTTGGCTAAGTCTAGCGTTATCAATATAATGAAAGATAAATTAAAAGTATCACAACACTTGTAAGAATATGATCTATGAACTTGATATGAGACAAAAAGGTCATAGGCCAAAGTTCACATAACGACACAGCTCTTTGCCGCTTCCTTCCGTAAATGGACCTTTGCTTCACCCATACCGCTGAAGCGTTTACGCTTGATAAATGACCTCTGTCGTCTAAAGTTCGTCGTTTCTGCGGGACTTTTATTTCCGGCGGAAGAAAGAGCAGCTACCTCGACAACGTCACATACACTCCTGTGTGACGTCTTGGATGACGTTTCTGAATACACGAGAGCACCGATGTGTTTGGCTGTCTTCAGACCCTGCAATCAAAAACAGTTCAAATATTAAAAGACTATATATACTTAAACAAACTTATCATAACTGAAGTAGTTTTAAAAACATTTTAAACTTGCGGTTCACGCTACCTACCAACAATTCACCGACTAGGAGTTGATATCATATCCCTATTACATGATTTGGCAAAAACTATGAGGTCGGAAGTACGTCACAATGAAATGCAATATTCGATTTTTGGGTCTACAGTATTATGCAAAAAATATTTAATTATGACGTACTTCCGGTGCTATACTTCTTATGAATACTTCTGAAGCTGACATACCTGGTCATAGGTAACCATGGACTGTTTCTTTCGGGCGAGCCTGGCTGTGAAGTCTGTGTCCGACTTCAGGTCAGTTTTACAGCCCACTAGGATTATAGGCTGTGTGGGACAGTGTTCCCGTACCTCTCCGTACCACTGGTCAAACAAAACACAACACTTATTAGGTATTTGATATTCAAATCATGATTACTGGAGTGCTGATAACATCTCAACAATATGATATGGTCGAACGTTACAAAAATATCCTCCGTATCGCTGACCTTTATTTATATGCATACCTAACCACAATACGACGTTGCCATGGTCATCTATACCTTTTGATAATCTTACCACAATGTTTTATTAAAGTAACTTCACATAAAAATTAAATATACTTCATAACGTAAATGGACCAACTATTCAAGAATCGTGAGTTCGTTCAAGATACACCAAAGATCGTTGTATTACCTTAGAAATGACAGCATCCATGGTTTCAGGATCGGCAACGGAAAAACAAACCAGAATTAGATCTGCATCACTGTATGACAGGGGGCGCACTCGATCATAGCCACTGTCTCCTGAAAAACACAAACAGGTTCGGTCAGTGTAACAATGCGAGACCGGCCAATCTATCATCATGCAACAAGTAAATGATTATAGTTTATTTTTGGTTTCATCAAATTGCTTTGTTATTACAAAAGGGCTATTGAATACTGAAAGTAATTAATTTAAATGGTTTGGAACACACTACTCTCATCTTTCAAATATTATGTTCTAACACAGATTTCCCCCTTTTAAACGGACACCATTGAGCTTAAATTGAGTCTCTCAGCAGCGCATATCCTTGAACTTTCAAAACTGACAATTTTCAGTCCTTTTTGTACTATGTTTCGACTTTCGGTAGCTCTTGAAAGTTCAAAATATAAGTTGTCGTTTTGAAATGCAGTTAAGATACCGAAATCAATCTCACTTAAGGAAATTACTTAACGGGACACGATTACGCATAATTGCATCATCAAAGCTCCCAGTCGAAGGTTCTTCCCGTTCTTATAAAATATAAATATCGTATAGATTAGCGTACGTATAATTAACGTGCGTCAGGTTACAGAAAATGTCCCCAGAACAGTCGGGAGTTTAGTTTTCTAATTCGTGTTCAATGCTGATTATGACTTTAACTTGCGTCAGACTAAATTATCCTAACTGCCCGGCACTGAAAAGCTTTTACCGATAATTAAATTTGAAATGTAAAATCGGAGACGGGAGACATTCGTAGGCTCCCTATGGTCCAAGTGAACGGCGGGAGTGAGGCGTTATCTAACGGCTCCGCCTATACTACTCTTTACTACACTGTCGAGTCTGCATTAAATGCGTAGCAATCAAAACAATTGAAATCAGAGAGGGGGATGAGAACAGGAAACCAGAGGTGATGCATCCTCAATAAGTATTTAATGTGTATCAGTTTCGACTCTAGGGAACGGGGGTCTCAAGGGGGAACCTGATGGTGTACTTAGAAATGGGGTATCAAGGGGGAATTCATGTGTCGGTAAAATCAATTTGAGTGTAAATGTGTGTTTTGTTCTGATTTTTTATTTTGCGTATGTGGTTGCGTGACGCAAACTTTGAGGTATTTTGGCTTTCTGAACCATACTTTAAAGTACAATGCACCGGAATTTCACATGGTTTAAAACAACTAAATACATATGAATAATTTGAACACCTTTTAAATATTATACAAATCGCATTTTAATCTTAAAGATTAAAATAATCCGGATGTGGAGGCGATTAATGTAAAAATGCTGAGAGAGATTAGTGTCAAATATTCCATTCATAATGTTGTACGATCGAGTGATAACAGGGCCACACCTCCAACAAGGCAGTCACGCCTGGCTGCTGATACTGGCGAGCAAACAAGTGTACACCAGACGGGCCAATATGTACTGTGTTGTTCAGAATGTAGCCAAGTCTTCATTAATGTTAACAAGTCCGGATATTTGTAGTCCAATAAAGAATTTTTAAAATATTTTGTGTGTTTTCTACTTTTTGCGGGTTTTTTGTTGATCACTTGTTGTCGAATAACGTTAAAATGTCTCATTGCTATCAACTTTTAGTTTAGATTTTGTGTCTAGCACATCTAGCTTCCATAGATGTACTGTTTTATATCACAGTTCGAGTTTTTGTGATGACGTTGTACAAATTAGCCAACACAAAGCGCTGTCTATAAGCGTGCATGTCTGCATCCCCCTCCTTTCCATCAGCGCGAAGTTCAGTCGCTACGTGACCCGTGATCCACTTGTCTGTACGGATTCAACTTGAAGGTGGAAGGCCTCCCCGATACATCATTCTTTTTTATGGACTGTCAGAATGACAATTGCAGGCACTGTTAAAAATGTTTCACAACGCATGCGTGACAGATGAGGCCCTTTGATGAGCCAGTATGTGCCCTGTCTGCCCTGTTTCTCTCTGCCCCTGTGTCGGCATCCCTTCCCGGTTTGATGTGCACGCACCTGTGGCCCTCTCTGTCCTTGCCTCTCTAAACGCCCACCCTACTCTGCCATTGCCCCAGTCTTCATTTCCGGTAACATGCTGGGTTAGACGATAGCACACGTCAGCTGTAATTATTTCTGATTAGATGTAGTATCTGGAAGCTGTGTAGGGCAGATGTACCCATCTCCCCATACACACGGCTATGTCTGGATTAGCATTATGTCAGAAGCTAATATATATAGAAATGCAAACAAAAGAATTGCAAAACATAAAGTAAACTGAAATATGATAGCATCGCGGGACGGATTCAAGCTGGCAATCTTTATCTGTTCTGAGAATTCGGTTGTTCTTGGCGACGTGTGGAATTGATGTAAGTTTGCGTTTCTTTCCCAAACACACTTACGTCAAAACAGTTTATTTAAACAAAGATTCTGCATCGCAAGTTTCAAGAACCCGTTGACGTATTTTTCGGATTTGGAATTTTTTATGCGCTCAAAGTTTCCGGAACCTGTTGACGTATTTTTCGGATTTGGAATTTATTATGCTCTCTAATGTTCCGCTGCATGTAGACATCCGCCGCCTTTTTTCATCACGAGACACATATGCTGGGAAGTCGTACAATGAGGTGATCGAGTGCATCATGTAAATGCTGTCAATTACGAAAATGTCGCTATCTGAGACGTCGCTCATTTGTAACAGTTAGGTATTCTGTGCGCATGCTGTGTATTTGATTCTGGCCTTCCCAAGTGCAAGTACTGAATTCAACCGCACATCTGGCAGGCTGCCTCTCAACAATGTAAAGCGAATATCCGTCGGATTGTCATTTACTCAGATGCTCCCCATACCACCTTAGCGGACTCACGGAATCTTGAAGTAATTAACGTCGATATCCCACGTCAAAGTAATCAAGATGAAAAGGAATGTGTTTATTCTAAAGTGCAACATGCACAAAATCAGAGGATAAAAATATGCATAATTTTTGTCAAGTGCACATTGAATTCCCATGTCTAGTTAACATCAACGAAAGGTCGTGACCGTGACCTTGAGATCAAGTGGTACACGGTCCGATGAATAGGGGGACTTGTAAAATACTTCACCGGGATAAAGCAACAATAAAATACTTCACCGGGATATAAGCAACATCGACCTTCCCTGTTCCCTTCCTTCATTTTCGAGTTCTTATAATGTCAAGCACAGCTCGAACAGGAAATTATTTGTTAATTTTGACATAAAATTGTGTGTAGTTCATCTTCAAACATTTAATTGCTTACACAAAGCAAGATACAGGAATTTATCAAAGGAGCGCCTGTACGCGCCAGAGCGATCACAGTTACATACACCGATACCTGTAACTCCCGTGTAAATTCTACGTATCTGTCACGTTCAGGCCAGACATGGCAGGCCTGACGGCATGCACGCCAGAATGCCACGCATACTCAGAATTACACGTGCATCTCATCACATACAGTCACAATATTCCCCCGAGAAGCATGCGTCCCATTATGCCGGAATGCTTGTGCATGTGAGGGAGGAATTGTCGCCATTGACAAAGGTGTGGTGCAGAGAGCGTAAACTGGTGCATGTCAACCATATGTGGTTTTGTAGCAAGTCGGAATACATTCTAACATCACATGCCTTCTCTCAATGTTACTAGTCTGTAAATTATAACGACAACTACACAAAATGGCAATTGTGAGAGCCGCAACACCAACTACGCGCCCTGTGTAAGCCCTTTAATGACATGAAAATGTATTTATTGTCTCACAGCAGGTGATCATAATTAGATTTAAACTATATCTCCATACTTTCCTGTACAGACAGAACAACTGCATAAATCACACATGTATTTGAGGAATGGCCAGGACATTGCAGATTAACGCCTCAAGAGATTACCAGGACGTTGGTTGTTTGAACCCGACTAACCTCGTTTGTAATTTATTCTTTACCGTTTATACACCTATTGAATATGAATATATGTATAATTCACTCCCCCTCACCTTCATTCAAGTAGATTTATACAGGTGTTTCATTCAATCGTTTAAAATTAAGTCACGCAAATCACGAAATTGATACTGAAGACAAAGGCACCGTTATTGAACAGCGAGGTTTGAGATTTATAGAATATTAAACAAAAGACAAACCAATCAATTTAAAAATCCGGATGTCTACTAGGAGTATACACTGACGGCTAATAAGGCTTTTTAACTCCGAAATAACCGGTTCCGTCCCTTTTGAACCCTGTAATCCGTTCCCACACGGTTCGGCGGGTGTTTACTGTAGCAACAACACCGTTGTTTACTTTTCGTCTATCCTATTATACCAGGTACATCCACCGTGACTCGTATAGCTACGGAATTAAAAGGTCATCCCGTCCGATTTATAATGTAGTAGTGATGGGTAACATAACCGTCTTACATTATATACCAAGTAGTCGGTAATGACCGTTCTAGGAATTAAAATGCAGTCTTGTCTCTGAGTTATAGTTTGAATGAATTAGGGCCCTCGGTTGACTTTGGCACGTATTATTTTCAGAAGTTAACATCCCTCCCTCTGAACTGGAGAGTCGAGACACGCGTCCAATAAACACGTCTTTTCAAAACCAAGAGTCAAAACTCCCTTTTAGAATCTAAAAGATACTCTCAATGGTCCATTAAAAAACATGGATGCAGCCCCTCTCCTTTTTTTTTTTACACAAAAACATAATATTAACTAACCTATGTGTCAATTTTGATCCAGAAAACAGAAGCTGTCTTTGGACGGTTCTATCACAGGATCATTGCTGGTCGTATACTTTGACGAACATTGCGTGCAGTTCAGATACTATTGTGTATAGCATGATTAAACCAGCTGTGACTTTAGCCGTCTACAATGCTCCAAAGTTCAGTCAGAATTTTATGAATAGGTTGGTGTTGTATTTTTTATTTTATTTTTTGCTCAAGTAGACGTTTCCTAATCGTTCAAATCAGCAGCTCTGATGTCACACCCAAACATGTATAGACAAATAGGCCAGGCAATCGACAGACCTAGCGACGATCTTATCACCAACGGACAAAACCCAAGTCAGTCCGATCCAACCATGCGCTCCAAAGCCACATCACCCCCTCGGAGAGAATACGTGAACCCAAAGTCACGGGTCAGTCGTCAACAAAACCCGAGACGGACTCGGACAAAGCAATCCGGAAACGCTCCCACCTCGCGAGGCGGTTTATTTTTCAACGTGATGAATGGTATATTGTTTATTGAGCGACTCACTTACTAAAGTACTTGCTTCTAGCATACAGATACCGTAGGAAAACTTAAACACAAGTAAACGTATAGTCTTCCGTCAAAGCTGTGTCTGACATTATAAATTGAGGCTGGGACGTATGTACTTCTTGTATGTCAGCTATATGTGCAGATTATGGTGAACATAAAATCCTTATTGCATTTAAAATAGCACATTAGCACATTGTATATGAATGGGCATGCACCGTCTGTACACACCCGCTATATTACGTATATTGTTAGGCATGTATTAAAACGATCAATTTGTAAAGGCGTGGCACTAGACTCACTACCAACTGTTTAAATGTCAAAAACATGCCTATAGGTCTATCCTACCATCTCCCGTATCTCCATACAGAGACGATTGCCTTTTAAATAATTTCAATTATGATTATATACATTTACATCGTGAGGTACTGACCTATCCTATAACCACACAAGGAAGTCTGTTGAAATACGACCAACCCAAATATTTCGAGAAACCGCAAAGTCTATAAATGCTCCAACGACACACAGTATTGAGTGGGTGTCGTCTACTCTCATCAAGGTTGTGTAAAGTCTGGTTAGCATATCGACAGATTAATGTTGACCAGTAACCATTTAAGAGTATTGACAGGGAAACTTATACTGACTAGCTAACGTTAAAAAGAAAATCATTCGAACACGCTTTGTTTCTTTGTTGCAACCACGAGGATCTGATAATATACTCGACTTTCGATTGACATGGCTAATGCAATTACTTAATGTACCATTTCAATGAAATCTGAAATTCTCTCACCAAATTCAAACACAAAAACTTCAAAGACTGGTGCTATTTGACAGGTATGAAAACGTAGTACAATTTTCTAGTAGCATTCTAGTAACAGATTTTATTGTTATCAAATTACAGTAGTTGGCTAATAATTTGTAATATTATCGTCCATATATTAGGATGAAATTTCCCCAAATAAATTTCTCCTATATATTAATTATATAGTCAGAAATATAGCTAGTTTACTCGCTCGCATTATATACAAGTCATGCATGTATACTATATAGTAACAGTATACAGAAAATCGACCCCATTTCTTACCGGCTTATGTCAACACCTCCGTTGGGTTCCCCACCAAAACAAACCTAATCTCTCTACTGCGAGCTTCAATACCCCCTCCCTCCTCAAAACATCCTCCCATCGTGGGAAAAAGACTGAAGGAATGCCGTTATAAGACTAAAGTATCAAATTCGGTCACACATGTTTACACGTAACCCACGTGCTTATTACTAGAAACCGATTTTACTGACGCATATCAGATCACGTGCTGTGTGAGTAAACCTTTCTAACTTACTATATAACTTTTGAAATTGATAACGTTGAAGGTTGCACACTTCTTTCGCTATATTAAATGTGAGCCTATTCTGGAAAATGTTGCGGTATTCTTGAACAATTTTGTGTTCCCGATCCAAATCTCGTGTTTCCGTACAAGGTCGTGCTTTTCCGTTGTAACTGTCTGGCATCGTCTGCCCGTCGATGACGTATGTGGTCTCGGTTGAGAGCAAAACTAAGAAGAAAATATGTTTCGCGAACATAAGAGAAACCATACTCATTTATAAGCTTTGTGCCAAGAAGTACAAACTGGGATGTGGACATTCAGATCTGTTTCATATGGTGACCTCTTTTCTAACCCTAAAAGATTGTTCCGCATCATATGCAATATCGGAAACTGCTGTGGAGAAGTGTTCTTTACTAAGTATAGGGACGACGTTGCTGGAGTGAAACTTTGAGGTACTGCGTAGTTCTACTCCCGTTCTAGTGTACTGTAGTACTTATCTATAATCAGTAAGTAATCCGCTAATTTGGCGCAATGTTCGTTTGGTTCTTGAAAACAAATAACCGCCTTAAAGTGCAGCAACACAAAATAAATTTGCACAGTATTTCTACATAATGTCTCCGTTGACAAAAGGGGCTGGCAAATTGTCCGTTTAATTACCGTTTACGGCATGAAAAGAGATTACGTATATCTTTCAATATACATGTATATTGCTTTGCGTAATTTTGAAAATTGATTAAAAGTAGCACTGATTACATGTGAACACAGAGAATCGTAACGCGCTAGTGTATACATTGCTGACCGAGATGCAGGTTTGGACGTACCTTCGAGGCGCCCACCCAACCCGATGTTAGTTTACAGTATTACAGTATCAGAGGTTTCTTAGCCACTGACGAAAAGATCATACAAAGCAAATCAGCGTTTTGTATATATGTGAAGTGACAAATTAGAACACAATGTCAAATCTAACGTTTTCCGTTTGGCGAGGAATTTCCAGGGCTTAGCACTAGCAAATACGCCTGTTTTTCTTATCTAAAATGGATGGGTGGCATAAATACTACCGATAAGGACTGACGCAGGCTGAAACTAAAGTGTAGGAATTCCGCTCACTATCATGCTAAATCGAATCAAAATATCCTCGCCTGTCCTTTGTTATGATCAATGTAAGCAAGATTTCCGCCCTCAATACCTAATCATTTCAGTTGTGACACTTATAAATGGCAGTAATAGAGTACAGCACGGCTAAAGAAAGGCTGTGCCATAGGTACAATAGGGGGGGGGGGGGGGGGGGGTTACTATCGCAAATTGAAGCTCCAATCACAATTTCATAACCCACGAGAAAACAATTTACTTTATCACTGCTTCAGGAATTAGGATCTTTCAAATTCAGAATATATTTTGGCCATATAATCGATTTCTCTTTTTTTTTTTTACCAAATTCGCAGCAGGATTAGTTTGGACTTGTTCACCGGATGTGACGTTTCAAACATGATTATGGTAGGAACATTGCATATATATATCTAAAATGAATCCTTAACACGCCAAATTCAGGTCTCTCACACAGCAGAAAAATAAGATTGGAATGACCTTCATAATTACACACTATTCATCTGATGTACATGCTATTTCTCCTCTCCAACTTATCACAAGCTACAAGCTAAAAATATCCCCTCGAAACGTTTCATCCCAGACAGCATCATGTGCATACGATGCACGTTTCAACGTTAATGGGGATCTGTTGCAGCTGAGCACTTGAGAAAACATCTCCGGTACTAGGTTTGTCGCAAGTAAACACAGAACACTTGAAATAGGAAAAGGAATCACCAGAACTGATAGAGCCTTGCAAAGACACAGGAAAGAAATCGACGCCGACGTAATGTGACAACACGAAAATACTTCCGGTGCACTAGCCATAGTTTCGTATTACTATAAGCTTGGAGAGGTTATCATAGACCTCTATGAGTTGTTGTATTCAATCCCAAGTGGATACGTCAAACTCAATGATATACTCAAGAGTGTATCTCACTGTCCGATATCGCTAATATGAGACACATCTTATGTTTTATTTACAACAGATGTTCATATTGAGTCAATTTTCCATATTCACATGTGTAGAACGAACTTGTTGTCAATGTATTGACTTGAACAACAAATTCAACGAAACTTGGTGAGTACATCGCTGACAGGTAGCGTGAAATAAAAAGTATTAAAGCAATATATTAAAGAGCAGAAACATAATTGCTGGGTTGGGGTGAATCTCTCTCCCCGTAAACCAGCGCGTCTCCCTCCTCAACACCCCTTCCCTCGCCAACCGTGTGAAGAGCTCTGAGGATGCTCTACTAACGAGCAATACTTAAATGTTACGTAAAAAAGAAACGACAAATGAGCACTCGGTTTCGAGAAGCTTTGCCGTAATGTTGCATCTGCCCATACCGTTTATAACAAACTATTAAAGGAAATAAAAATAGTGTGCTGCAGCTCGGTGTGAACAGTGTTGCCGGTGAACTGCCAGTGTCACAAATCGATTTGGATTCTGCAAGTAAATACATGAAGCCATTTGCTCAAAATGTCGGATTTCGGACGCCCTAATATAGCAGGAGGAAATACAGCCCATTCATATCAATAATTACAACGTAAATCTTGTTCGCTTCTGTCGTAATAACAGCACACACACCTTCCCCGAAATCCAATCGAACCCGCATACAATAAACTTTCTGCAAGATGAATTCATGAAACATGCATGGCCGTGGAAATTTTGTTCGGTCTCTGGACCCCGTCTTACTTCGTACAACGGTTCACAACCTACGTACGGCCTTTGATCGCGCGGTCTTTAAAGAATCAGTATTTTGATTACAATTCCAGGCTATATGTCTTCCTGACTTCTGGTTTATCGTGTACGACTTGAACCTTCAGGTCTATGACTTGAGATACTGTATATCTTAAACACCAGGAAAACTACAGGAAAACGAGCACTTGTTTTGCATGTTCAATGAAGAACCGCCGAATTATTTGAAATACACATAGGTTAGGCAAAAACAAAAATAATGTGAATTTCAGGTATCATGGCAGAAAAAAATAGGGTAGGTCAGTAGGCAATTTGTTTTTAAATTTTATATTTTCATGTATCAAATATGATCCTCATATCATTTAACATTGTATTTCCACACATTACAGTGGTTATGAAGCTATCAGGAATGGGGTCAGGCCCCCTGAATAAAAAGAAACTTTAATGATTGACTTTTGAGATTTGCAGGAATAATAATCAATGTTGGATACAACAAGTAGGTGATAAAATGTTCTAGCGTCGGCAGGGAAATCTAGGGTAGGTCGGGATACCTGCAACCCATTTGTTTTTGTGGTGGGGGTGGGGGGTTAGAAGTCGGTACTTACCAGATGTGTCCCAAATCGACATCTGTATTTTGTACGTGTCGGAGACGTGGTATGTCGCCGTGTAGGTGTCGAAACCTGTCGGTGTATAGGTCTGAAAAATACAACAAAAATAACCATCGTTATTACAATACTTGAAATGTCGGTTAGCTCAAAGTGCCACAAACCATATTACATTTGTACATATAACATTGTTGACAGATACATTGTATACCTTATATTATACGTGCTATCTCGACTTTATACTGTATATCTCGACATTATATTGTGTATCTCGATTATACTATTTCACTAAATACTTTGTGCTATCTCGACCACATATCATACATCTCAACCATATTTCGAATATGTATATTTTGTGCTATACACACGGAGACTGCGGTAGTAAATGTCAGCAGACAATCATTGGTCTTAAGATTCCAACCTCGCATAAACATTAAGTCATATCTGTTGACCGTTATCTGGACTGTTTATGCTGTCGATACCATTGTTACAGAAACATAGGTACAGTCCGTATAAATAGGTAGAAAGAAACCCAACATGGTACAGATAGGTAGAAAGAAACCCAACATGGTACAGACAGGTAGAAAGAAACCCAACATGGTACAGATAGGTAGAAAGAAACCCAACATGGTACAGATAGGTAGAAAGAAACCCAACATGGTACAGATAGGTAGAAAGAAACCCAACATGGTACAGATAGGTAGAAAGAAACCCAACATGGTACAGATAGGTAGAAAGAAACCCAACATGGTACAGATAGGTAGAAAGAAACCAAACATGGTACAGACAGGTAGAAAGAAACCCAACATGGTACAGATAGGTAGAAAGAAACCCAACATGGTACAGATAGGTAGAGAGAAACCCAACATGGTACAGATAGGTAGAAAGAAACCCAACATGGTACAGATAGGTAGAAAGAAACCCAACATGGTACAGACAGGTAGAAAGAAACCCAACATGGTACAGACAGGTAGAGAGAAACCCATTGTTGACTTTAATCCTAATGGCACTTGCCGTCAACACAAAATTGTTGTAAGCGAACATTTGGAATCTTTGCCTCGGGATAAGTGACAACTGTGATATCGAAGTTTAAACTATAAGCTGAACAGTTCATGCACGTATAAAAAAGAATGCATTTCATTAATATAAAAAAAACATTCGTTGTAGCCCTGCTCAAGAGTCACATGAAACGGATTAATAGCAATATATGTAACTTTTCATTCCCATGACGTTGCACTTATTCTCCAACCGTCACGAGTCCCTTTACAAGCTATGTAATAGCCTCGACCCTTTTTATATACATAAACTACAATTGTCGCCTTTCATGTCAGGAACGATTAGCTGCCGACGGGTTCTCGGCGGGGGAGTTTTGCAGGTGAGCCAGGTAAACTTGTGTAGCTTAGTCTCGGCTCTGTAACCTTTCAGATACACAGAAACTCTGACACATCCAAACATATTAATGCACATTTAAATTCCTAATATTATACGACCATTGAAATAAAAACACGTACTGGTTTTAATAATATTTTTGACATTTATATGAATACATGTTCCACTGGAAGTATTTGATTGTGTCGGTACAAGCTGACGGCTGTAGAACGTTCGTGGTATTTAGGAGGACCTTCTGAACGAGACATGGGCGATCTCTGTGTGATATTAAACAGGCGAACACACAGCAATCTTTGTGTGCCAATCTCTGAGGTGGGACTTAGTTTAATGAATGTTATTTGGTTTAATTTTGCACGAATGGCTTTGTCAATTGTTGTGTAGTGTAAAGGTTGAAGCTTGTTGAAGTTCGTAAATTTGTATCAGATATCCTTGGCCGGATTATGCATTATCAAACAGCCGTTTATGACGGATAATGTGACAGAGCACTGTCACTGTAAGCTATCAGGGTGCTGCTTTACATGGAAGCGTTCTAGACGTTAGGAATATGATATTAAGACTAAAGATGTGATCGATAGATCTATAATCTGCATCAGACAGGAGTAAACATCCATCTTACTGCTGAGACAGATACATGTATATATATGTATATATCAGCATACACGTATCAATTTTTAATCGTGCGTAAAACATGTTTTCTGCGTGCATGATGTGATCTCCAAGAGTGTAAAATGTGCCTTTGTGCGTTTAAATTTCGTGTATAAGCAATAAATATATAGAAACTGGAGCGCTGAATGAATTATACCGCAAGAACAATTACACACGTATTATCGTGTGATATCACACCCACCATCGCTCGGCATAATGTCAAAAATGTTTAAATTGATTTATTGATTTGACAATATTTATAAATCAACATTACATTTTTCAAAAAGTCTTGACTATTTTTTTATTATTGTAAAATTGCGCCGCCGGAAGTGCTATCTCAACGGTCAGTGCCGCTGCCATACCGATCCCTAGTTAAGTGACAAGTGCACTGATCACGTGTCAATTCACCCGTTACGAAAGCGAAATGCAAATGACGTATTATGTCACAATCCTTGTTCCATGTCAATCTCAGGAGAAAGAACCGTATCTGTATACAGTATATGCCCTTGTCAATCAAAGAGAACATTTGCATAATCCTGACCATTTGACATTTTAATCAGCACTGCGTTGATTACACATCGATAAAGGCAATTAACGCTAGTCTGGTCATCCGTATTAGGCCGAGTGACCAATTGACTTATAAATGACCTATACAGTATCACCTGGTCATCCGTTGTCCTAATCCGTGTAGATTGGAACGACCCACGTGACACTTGACATGGGGAGGACAATACATGTTTTGTTTTCTAGACAGATCTGGAGACGGGATTACAGCCGTATTACAGAGTCGAAAAGTCAAGTAACTTTATAACTTTGGATCATTGCCCGTAATGGTCAATCAAGACTGGACAAGGGTCAAAATTTAACAACAAAGTAACCAACAGAAACCATTGTTACATTGTGAGAAAGTTACACCACGGTGTTGGCGTCTGCCGTATGTACTATAGACATCGACCGCGTCCGACCGTAGCAACAAAACGTCATACTGATAATAGAAATGCAGTCAAGATGGTCGGAGAAAACTCATATTTTTGCGATGACGATGACAATGTTAAAAGAGTCTTGTATTCATTCAAAATATCATTTAAGTTTGAAAAAATTCCCGAAGCATTTGTATTAACTTGATAAATCGAAGTCTTGTTTAATAAATCTCATAAAATGAAAACTCATTCAGTGCATATTATTCGTGAAGTAAAAAATGACCCGACACAATGCCGTCGCTATCTTTTAATATTGAGGACTATATATAAAATAACTTGCGCGTAAATCGTTATCTAAATTCAAAATTAATTCGACCATTTCTCGTGAATGTCCAGTGTTACTCACGAAGACCGACAGATGGTTTTGATTTCACTGACGAACACTATTAGTCAACTCGCCACAAGTTGGCCTCGCGGGTTTGGGATGCGTCTAAATGTCAGCGCCATATGATAACAGTGAGTGGTTGTATCAATAAACATCTCCACATTTCTCACTTAGTATTGGCCTACTGCCTTACACACAGATAGATACCGGAATTGGGCCGTGACGTCATCAAGGTGCAGCACCTAAACTTCTAAACTATCCACTACGGCAACCATGAGCACTTCAGCAGCTGAATTGGTAGCAAGTTGTTAAAAGGTTCTGATGATGTGATCAAAGGACGAATATCGTATAGAATATATATATATATTCTGTAATATAGCAATATAGTTAGGTAGCGATGAGTTGTTGCTGGTCGTTATAGCCAGTACAGTTTGTACAGACAGTATCACAGTAATCTATTCTGACATGTTAATTTTCACCGAAGAAGACTGTCACTTTTAATTTAGCCCGGGTTATAGCAGACTCAGAGCTTGTCGTGGGATATAAAACCAACCATTTCGGTTCCATGTTGTCTGAATAAATAGAACATTATCGATTCTTTGAGAAAAGCAAACCTGATTCTAGACCAGTATTCACCAACGTGAATATACGGGTCATACCATAGCGATTAACTGACAAGTTAATACATAACATTATCCATTATATACCAGCTTTCCTCAAGTCTGACGTTGATTATATAGCATCACCTCTGAGATGTCAAATCATTGAAAATCGGCCCATAAAAGCATCATAATCGCCTTCCCATAAAGCACGCACTACAATCTTGTCATGATATCAATGTAAAACCGCCTTTCATTTCAAAATGGTTGCCATAGCAACGGCATGAACAAATACCCTTTCTTATTTCTTTATCTTTACTTTGTCTGTCAACCATGAAACATGTCATTTTCATTCAAATAAACTCACGAATACCTTCAAAATAAAAATGCAAAATAACAATTTTGTCAAACTTAAATATTCTGCAATCGTTTGCAGCTTTCTTTCAAATCAAATTCATACCGGAAAATCGAATAGCCTTGTTCTACATATTTGCATAATCAAATTGCACGACAGGACAAATTTGGAGATTTCCTTGGTAAGGGTTCCTATGGAAACGCTTTCAAAATAAATTACAATTAAAACTAGCAAAACACGATGTTCAAATTTACATTATCAAATTTACTACCCTCCACGTTCTGATAAGAATTCGTAATATTTTTGGGAAAATGTCAATATGCCCGACTGGGTCATACCCCTACATATAGAAGTAGACTCGCGTGTCCCATAGCTGAGAACAGTTAACTGTACAAAACAGGGATGGCAGGTACACCTACCATTCCTGGAAATGAATCGCAGATTTAAATATCCGATGAACTGTCCCTGAAGACGTGGTATAGCATGGAAATTGATTCTAGAGCTTGCCAATCGGAAATAAACATCTTTCCAAGAAAAATTGTTCCAACCCCTGGCATTTATTCAGATCGTTCCTCAATGAAGCCATCACCAATTTGGGAGTCGCGTAATTCTCGTTTTAGTTTATATACGAAATGAACAAATTTGACAGTATTTAGATGCATTTCATGACCTGCATTGCAACATGATCGTTAAATGAGGCATATATCTGAATTGGGATTTCAATTAAGCGATGTGCCTACGGCGACAGGTCACCTGTCTTGTACGTTAGTTAGCGATGTACTTCCGGTGACCTGTCTT